CTTCCGATCTAAAAATTTATTCGTGTTTGACTCGATTGCTTAGCGAGCTGAACACGAGTTGTTCGCGAACAAACAGCCATTTTGACAATCATAATCACGCACGTAATCATGTAATATTAAGGAAAATAATGAGATTTAAATATTATTATTTATATTAAAATATAATGTAAATATAATTTAAGTTATATTTATCTTATTTTTTAATAAATAATTTTAATTTATTATAAATCTTTGTAGCGTTATAGCCAATTAAATTGTTTAAAAATACAACTCATCAATATATATATGGATGAGTTGTATTTTTAAACAATTTAATTGGCTATAACGCTACAAAGATTTATAATAAATTAAAATTATTAATTAAAAAATAAAATAAATATAACTTAAATTATACTCGAGCAAAATGAGCCGAACATGAATGAACAAATCTTTGTTTGTATTATACTTGTTTATAGCGCAAAAGAATTATTTATGTTCGGTTAGTTTGATTAGCTAACAAATCAAACACATGTTTCTTAATAAGCTGAACACGAATTGTTCACGAACAACAAGCCTTTTTGACAACTATAACTATATTATGAGGCTTATGTTAGTTGAAGCTCGAACTCGCGAACCGCTCCCTGTTCTCGATCGCGGGAAGTCACTACCTTCCGCGCAAACTGTTCCTGTGATTTGTCGTTCGTGAATCGTCGCGAACGTCCCGTCTACCATTAGCATCTCCCGCCACTGTCAAACCATTCCAGCCTCCTCATCACGATAAAAGGAGCGGCTCTCTATAAGATTTAATACGACCCTTTTGTGTTCTTCTTCGGCGGTTTTGCTTCGACGGGATAGAGGAAGAGAAGTGCAAGCAATGTGTGTGTGTGCTTTACAGAAGGAAGAAGAAAGAAGAAGAAGATTGCTCTCTCTTGCTTTCTCTTGATAGCTTGTGACAGAAGAAAAATTGGGTTTATTTCTCTTGTAAGTTTAGCTTCTTTGGTGTATCTCGATGTAGAGAGAGAAGAGTAGAGAAGTGAGAGAAAGAGTTCACTCTTGTAAGTCGAGACGATCGACGATCGACTGGTGTAAATTCCTCAAGTAGTAAAATCCTCTGCAACTCCGTGGACGTAGGCAATTTACCGAACCACGTAAATTTGTGTGTTATTTTCTCGTGTGAATTTTCTCGTTCTATTTTTCGCTTCATCGTTAATCTTTCTATTTTATTTTATATACCACAACAACTGGTATCAGAGTCGTGTTTCGGGTCTAAGGAAAGACGATGACTACAGATGAAATGAAGGTTTCAGGGATCGAGAAGTTCGATGGCACAGATTTTGATTATTATAGAATGCGGATAGAGGACTACCTCTATAAGAAGAAACTTCATCTTCCATTATTGAGCAAAAGACCTGAAAAAATGGATGAGGCTTAATGCAATTTGTTAGATCGACAAGTTCTAAGGGTTATTCAATTGACCCTATCGAGGTCTATTACACACAACGTCTTCAAGGAAAAGGCGACTGCAGATCTCATGGTAGTCCTGTTAGGTATGTATGAAAAGTCGTCGGTGAATAATAAGGTGCACTTGATTAAAAAGTTATTCAATTTATAGATGGTGTAAGGTGTTTCTATTGCACAACACCTAAATGATTTCAATACTATCACAAATCAATTGTTGTTTGTTGAAATTGATTTTGATGATGAGATACATGCACTGATCTTGTTGGTTTCATAGTCAAATAGTTGGGAAGTCATGAGGACGACAGTTAGCAGCTTTGCGAGTAAATATAAACTGAAATATGATGATATTTGTGATTTGATTTTGGTTGATGAGGTGCACAAGAAAAATTCTGGCGAGATCTCAGGTTCGAGTTCGACATTGAATGTTGATTTCAGAGGGAGATGGTAGTACAAAACACAAACAGAGGAAGATCAAAATCAAAGTCTGGTCAGTAGACAACCTGCTGTAATTGTGGCAAGGCTGGTCATATAAAGAGGAACTGCAAAAATCACAAAAAAATGGAGAATGATAGTGCAAATGTGGTAACTGAAGAAGCACATGATGCACTATTGTTAGTAGTTCATAGTTTTGTTGATAACTGAATATTGGATTCGGGAGCTTCTTTTCGTACAACATTCTATCGGGAATTGATGCGAAATTATGTTGAAGGTGACTTTGAGAAAGTATATATGACAGACGGAAAAGCTTCGAATGTAGTACAAATTGATTTACCATAGGCCACAGTGCAGGGCAGCGATGGAAGTGGGCACCCATTCCTAATATTCCACAGACAGATAAGATATGAGGAAATCTTGTAAGATGAAAATTCGAGCAAGTGAGAGCTGATAAAACTTCCACCGAGAATAAAGGCATTACACAACAAGTCGATGTATCAGGTGAAGACTGAGCTTGATAGCAGTAAGAGGTACAAGACTAGACTTGTTGAAAAATGCTTTCAGTAGAGGCATGATATTGCCCATGCAGTGGGAGTTGTAAGCATAGACAAGAGTAACTCGGAAATAGCTTGGAGGTGCAAGGCTATGTGGACCTTATTGATATGTTGACCAAGGGTGTTACTCTTGAGAAACTAAAGTTGTGCGCAACTTCAGTTGGTCTTCTGGTGTGAAGACAGAGGTTTTGAGTTGTAGAGGTGGAGGATATTAATGTTTGTAATGTTTGAAGAAAAGGGTGCCAGTGGAGGATATCAGTTCGATGAAGAAGACGTTGTAGCATGTGTATTGGTCTCTAAGTAGGAGATTTGTTAACTGGAGCCCGAATCTGCGAACCGCTCCTTGTTTCCGATTGCGGGAAGTCGCGACCTTCCTCACAAACTGTTCGCGCGATATTTTGTTCACGAATCGTCGCGAACGTCCCGCCTGCCATTTGCGTCTCCCACCACTCCCTAATTGTTCTTGTCTTCTCTTATTGATTAAAAGAGAGGCTCTCCTTCATATTTAATACGATCATTTTGTGTTCTTCTTCGACAGTTTTTGCTTCCACGGGATAGAGGAAGAGAAGTGCAATTAGTGTGTGTGTGTGTGCTTTGCAGAAGGAAGAAGAAAGAAGAAGAAGATTGCTCTCCCTTTGCATCTTATTACTGGCTTGTGATAGAAGAAAAATTGGGTATATTTCTCTTGTACGTTTATCATATTCGGTGTATCTCGGTGTAGAGAGAGAAGAGTAGAGAAGTGAGAGAAAGAGTTCGCTCGTGTAAGTCGAGACGATCGACTAATGTAAATTCCTCAATTAATAAAATCCTTTGTAACTCCGTGGACGTAGGTAATTTGTCGAACCATGTAATTTGTGTGCTCTTTTTTTGTGTGAATTTTCTCGTTCCATTTTTGCTTCATCGTCAATCGTTCTATTTTACTCTATATACCACAACGACTTAAAATGAGCTTAGGGCTGATTTGACAATTTAAGCTCATTTGGACAGCTCTAACTATATTATAATTTGAATAGGTTTTCAAAAATAACTCTTACTATTTTTTTTTTGAATAAGAATAAAAATTATTATTTTTGTGAGAACTTTATAATGAAATTATAAAATTACAAATTAAAGTTGTTATTAAATTGCATCAAATCAAAATTGGATTTAACAGGTATGGCCATTTTAAAACCATGATTTTTAATTTCAAGTAAACTGAACTATAATTACATTGTTTTTTTCGTTCTTTTCTCTCTTTTATTTTTTCAGGGAGTTCTTAGGTTGTTTGTTTATAATCGTAGTATTATTCTCTTATTCGAGTGAATCTCCCTCTCAGATAAAATGAATGATCCAAAGAGGTGAGGAAACGAAATGAGAGATATACGACAGGCAATAGACAAACGAGAGAAGAATGTGGAGAACTTTTGTAAAGTGACTTCGCGTGGATAGCCCTAAAGCGTAGGTCTGAAATGAGATAGAATCGAAAATACCTTGGAGATATCTGGGAATAAGCCCTTACGAAAGCAACCCACAGCCTGAAAATCAAGTATAAATACTTGTTTAGGGGTCAAGAGCACTCTCAAATGAACGTATTATTTTGATTAATTGCATCTTGGAAGATACCCAAGAAAACTCTCGATAAAAAGAGTCTTGCTTACATGATTTAATGAAATATGGTTATTTAAGAAACCAATAGATGTAAATCTTCTTAAGGGAAGATCCTGATACTTTCAACATATAAACGGGGTTATATGATAGAAGGTGAATCACCGTAACCACTACGAATGGAGACTTCTAGGCATGCAAGACCCATAAGACAATATCAATGATTTGTCAAAGGAATCGACCGGGCTTGAAAGTGGTGTCAACAAGAAGGAAAAAATCCCCTAAAAAGGTAGTGGTGGTCTGATCGGAGTACCATGGATCCGTCATCCCAAACTATGTATACCTTAAGTATGTCTCGTTGTCAATGTATTCAACCCAACACAACCAGAGACTTCTTGTTAGAAATAAGTGAAATGTGTCATCCAAGAAAGTTTCAGTTGCCCTAAATTTAAATGAAAAAAACTCTAGTTTCTATGATTTTAAATAGGTTGAGCTCAAAACAGATGGGACTTATGCTCACCAAGAAAATGCAGAGTTGTCCCTGGAAAGAAGAGAGAAGGAGGTTCAGCTACAAAGCTGGAAACACTCG